GCAATCTCAGCTCACTGCAACCTCTGCCTCCCAGATTCAAGTGATTCTCCTGCCTCAGCCTCCCAAGTAGCTGGGAATACAAGCATGTACCACTACACCCAGCCAATTTGGTATTTTTAGTAGAGACAGGATTTCTCCATGTTGGTTAGTCTGGTCTCCAACTCCCAACCTCAGGTGATCCACCTGCCTCGACCTCCCACAGTTCTGGGATTATAGGCATGAGCCACCATGCCCAACGTAAACTTATTTTGTTTATAAATCACCCATTTTAGGTATTTCTTTACAGCAGTGTGAGAACGGACTCATGCAGAGCCCTTGTACACTGTGGCAATGTAAATTAGTACAACCATTATGGAAATCAAACAGTAGAATGTAACGATGGCTATTTTCTTTCCCCCCTTTTTTTTTTTTTTTTTTGAGAGAGAGTCTCACTCTGTCACCCAGGCTGGAGTGCAATGGCACAATCTCAGCTCACTGCAACCTCTACCTCCCAGGTTCAAGCTATTCTTGTGCCTCAGCCTCCTGAGTAGCTTGGATTACAGGCACATGTCTCCACACCCAGCTAATTTTTTTTTCTTTGAGAGGGGGTCTCAATTTTGTCACCCAGACTAGAGTGCAATGGCATGATCTCCACTCACTGCAACCTCTGCCTCTTGGGTTCAAGTGATTCTCTTGCCTCCGCTTCCTGAGTAGCTGGGATAACAGCCGTGTGCCACCATGCCTGGCTAAATTTCATATTTTTAGTAGAGACAAGGTTTCATCATGTTGGCCAGGCTGGTCTCGAACTCCTGACCTCAGGTGATCCACCCACCTTGGCCTCCCAAAGTGCTGGGATTACAGGTGTGAGCCACGCATTTGGTCCAAGATGGCTATTTTTTAAAAAACAAAAGATAAATGCTGGCCAGGACATGGAGATCTTTCACTGTAGTTTTGACAAAAAAAGTGTTGTTGTTTGTGTTTTTGTTTTTTCCCTGGGCCTCGCACACCGTCCTGTTACCTTCACATTTTGTCTCCACTGATCCCAGGCCCAAGATCTTCTAGAGCTGCAGCTGTGCCTGTGCCCAAAGCCAATAGATTGAAGAACAGAAAGAGGGATGACTCAGCCCATAGCTGGTGAACATTACAATTTATCTCTAGGCCAGGTACAGTGGCTCATGCCTGTAATCCCAGCACTTTGGGAGGCCAAGGCAGGTGGATCACCTGAGGCCAGGAGTTCGAGATCAGCCTGGCCAACGTAGTGAAACCTCATCTCTACTAAAAATATTTTAAAAACTAGCTGGGCATGGTGGCATGCACCTGTAGTCCCAGCTACTTGGGAGGCTGAAGCAGGAGAATCGCTTGAACCTGGGAGGCAGAGGTCGCAGTGAGAGGAGATCACGCCACTGCATTCCAGCCTGGGCAACAGGGCAAGACTCTCTCTCAAAAAAAAAAAAAGATTCATCTCTAGGTTGCAAAGCCAAGTCTCCCAACTGCCACTGAGAACCCCCTAATCCATGAACGAGGGGCTTTAGCTTCCTTCATAGCCAGACAAGGATGGAGGAACCGGAAGACAGGAGAGGGACCAACCACCCAGAGAAGCCAGAAAACCCTCTTCCAGGGAAAATCCCTGGCACTTGTAAAAATAAGAGGATTATTTGGCTGTGAAATTTGCTTAATAATTGAATAGAAAACTTATTTTGATTCCCAGGGAAAAAGCCAGACATTAAGTAATGTAAATTCCTGTTCAGCCAGGAGCCAAATAAGCAGAACATATGAATTACTAGCGTCCTCTCCAATGCCAGACCCACATTCTATTTCACTGGAAAGAAAAAAAAGAATTCTCTGACATCGGGATTTTTCTCTAACCAGCAAACTGTCAGAATGGATTGGGGAGGGAAATGCCCACATTTTGCCATCCTCCTCTCTCTATATATGTATATATGCCATGGCCCCTCAGAATCACTTACAGAGGACTCGTCATATCCCTTGTGTCCTTTGGTGAATGAACCACTGGGATCCTCCGAGGGCTATCAGAGGAGTGGCTCATGAGCCGGCAATGTCATGAATAACTGATCAATGTCCCAGAAAGGGGAAACCATCAAGAAACAGAGAATGAGCCAGGCGCAGCAGCTCACGCCTGTAATCTCAGCACTTCAGGAATCCTAGCACTTTAGGAGGCCAAGGCGGGTGGATCACCTAAGGTCAGGAGTTCGAGACCAGCCTGGCCAACATGGTGAAACGCCATCTCTACTAAATATCAAAAAATTAGCCCAGCATGGTGGCAGGTGCCTGCAATCCCAGCTACTCAGGAGGCTGAGACAGGAGAATCGCTTGAATCTAGGAAGCGGAGGTTGCAGGAAGCCAAGATCATGCCATTGCACTCCAGCCTGGATGACAAGAGTGAAACTTCATCTCAAAATAAAAAACAGAGAATGGGGTCAGTTCACCCAGCCGCATGTGGAAGTGGGCCAGGGAAGGATGAGAGATGGCCTGAGCAAATTTTACCTTTCACAAAATGTTTGGATTTGTTCCAAGTAAATATCCAAGAGTTCAGCAAATAGTTGCAAAACATGACATTCCCCACTCTCCTTTAAAAGTGTCTGATTAAGCCCGAGTGCAGTGGCTCACGCCTGTAATCCCAGTACTTTGGGAGGCTGAGGCAGGTGGATCATGAGGTCAGGAGATCAAGACCATCCTAGTTAAAATGGTGAAACCCCATCTCTACTAAAAATATAAAAAATCAGCCAGGCATAGTGGCACACGCCTATAGTTCCAGCTACTCGAGAGGCTGAGGCAGGAGAATCACTTGAATCCAGGAGGCGGAGGTTGCAATGAGCAGAGATGGTGCCACTGCACTCCAGCCTGGTGACAGAGTGAGACCCTGTCTCAAAAGAAAGAAAAAAGTGACTGATTAGCCAGGCACAGTGACTCATGCCTATAGTCTCAGCCCTTTGGGAGGCTGAGGCAGAAGGATCACTTGAGTCCAGGAGTTTGAGACCCGCTTGGGCAAGATGGTGAGACCCCATCTCTACAAAAAATTTTTTTTAAAAAATTAGTTGGACATGGTGATGCACACTGTGGTTCCAGCTACACAAGAGGCTGAGGGAGGCTGAGGTGGGAGGATCACTTGAGCTCAGGAGGTCGAGGCTACAGTGAGCTGTGTTTTGACCACTGCATTCCTGCCTGGGTGACAAATTGAGAACCTGCCTCAAAAAATTTCTTTTAATAAAAAAGAGAGTGACTGAATATACAAGCACATGTGACATTAGAGAGGTGGATAAAGTCCCACTTGCATGTTTGGGCTCTGGAACTCATAGCAGCTGTTAGGATTTTGTGAACACGGATCAGGTCCCAGACACTGAACTCAACACTTAGCGAGCCACGTGGTTAATCCTCATGGTAAGCCCATGAAGACAATGCCGTGATGAAGACAGTGGCCAGGGTTTCCATCTGCCCAGGCACTAGCCATGCGATCAAGTGACTTGACTTCCCTGTGCCTCAGTTTCTTCTGTAGAATAGGTATAAAAATAGTGTCCATGTTGTAAAACCGCTATGAAAATTAGATGAGTTGGCCGGGCGCAGTGGCTCAAGCCTCCCAGCACTTTGGGAGGCCGAGGCGGGTGGATCACGAGGTCAAGAGATCGAGACCATCCTGGTCAACATGGTGAAACACCGTCTCTACTAAAAATACAAAAAAATTAGCTGGGCATGGTGGTGCGTGCCTGTAATCCCAGCTACTCAGGAGGCTGAGGCAGGAGAATTGCCTGAACCCAGGAGGCGGAGGTTGCAGTGAGCCGAGATCGCGCCATTGCACTGCAGCCTGGGTTACAAGAGCAAAACTCCATCTCAAAAAAAAAAAAAATACAAAAATTAGCTGGGCATCGTGGTGCGCATCTATAATCCTAGTTACTTGGGAGGTTGAGGCTGTGAACCTGGGAGACAGAGGTTGCAGTGAGCCAAGATTGCACCACTGCACTGCAGCCTGGGTGACAGTGAGACTCCATCGCAAAACAAAAAAAGTGATTTCTAGCCTGGCATTATGGTGCACACTTGTAGTTCCAGCTACTCAGAAGGCTGAAGCAGGCGGATCACTTGAGCCCAGGAGGTAGAGGCTGCAGTGAGCTATGACTGCATCACTGTACTCCAGCCTGGGCAACAGAGGGAGACCCTGTCTCTAAAAAAAATTAAATAAGTTGATAAAAAGAAAGTCATGCTAGTAAGACCAATAGTTGGGCTGTCACATGGACAGTATCTAGTAAGTTCTTTTTTGCCACAAATGAGTAGACCTTTGTTATTTCTTTGCATGCCTTGAGGGATTTTGTTATTTTCAATTTATAGCAACACTGAAAATCAGATTCTCCTCTCTCCCCCGTCTGTCATTGCTCTCTATCGTAGATTGCGTGGTTTGCTTGTTTGGTAAACGTTCCAGACTATTCTTGTAAAGTCTATATTTGTTGCCAATAAAGTTTCTGGTTTTTTGTTTGTTTGTTTGTTTGTTTTTTGAGACGGAGTTTCGCTCTTGTTACCCAGGCTGTGATGCAATGGCAGAATCTCAGCTCACCAAAACCTCTGCCTCCGAATTCAAGTGATTCTCCTGCCTCAGCCTTCCGAATAGCTGGGATAACAGGCATGCGCCACCACACCTGGCTAATTTTATATTTTTAGTAGAGATGGGGTTTCTCCATGTTGGTCAGGATGATCTCAAAGTCCCGACCTCAAGTGATCCTCCTGCCCCCACCTCCCAAAGTGCTGGGATTACAGGTGCCAGCCACCGCGCCGGGCGCTAGGTTTCTGTTCTTTTTGTTTGTTGGTTAGCTGGTATTTTGAGAGCTACCTAAAATGCCTGAAACCAACAAATAAAGAGGAATACAAGAAGGAAGAAAGAAACAGAAAGACAGAGAAAGAAAGAGACAGAAGGCAGGCAGAAGAAGGGAAGGAGGGAAGGAGGGAGGGGAAGGAAGGGAGGAAGGAAGAGAGGGAGGGAGGGAAGGAGGGAGGGAGGGAGAAAACACTATCCTAGTCTTTGCAAATTGGATCTGTTTGGAGTACTCTCCCAACCCTTAACCAAGCCATTTATACTCTGCCTTAGCTTTCCCTTCTGGCTTGCACAGAGCCTGAGGCCACCAAGACATGAAAGCCCAGGGTCTTCTTATGCCTTTTCTTGTGTTTGCTTGTTTGTTTTTGTTTTGTTTTGAGACAGTCTCTCTGTCACCCAGGCTAGAGTGCAATGGCACAATGTCGGCTTACTGCAACCTCCCAGATAAAGCGATTCTTCTGCCTCAGGCTCCCTGAGTAGCTGGGATTACAGGTGCATGCTGCCACACCCGGTTAATTTTTTGTATTTTTAGTAGAGATGGGTTTTCACCACATTGGCCAGGCTTGTCTCAAACTCCTGACCTCAGGTGATCCACCCCCACTTGGCCTCCCAAAATTTCTTAGGCCTTTTCTGAGCATGCAACTCACTATGGGCCTGCACACAGCTTTCTTGATTTCCTAGTTTATGTGAAAGCTTTTAAAAGCCTCTACAGACACACACGACTTTTTCCAAACTTTTCCTTCCCAGGATGCCTGGTCGGTCTATTGCTTGTCCCAGGTGTTATCCCCTGCCCCAGGGTATTGAGGCCAGTACCTGTGTCTTTCAGTGCCTTTGTCTAAAGCCACCTGGGAAACCACCCCAGCCCTGAAAATGCCCTCAGTAAAAAAGCTCAGAAGTCTTTCTGCTAGTCCTTGAGGAGGTCATCAGACAGGTGGAGACCTACAACCATAATTTTTTTATTTTATGAGATGGAGTCTTGCTCTGTCACCCAGCCTAGGGTGCAATGGCACGATCTTGGTTCACTGCAACCTCTGCCTCCCAGGTTCAAGTGATTCTCCTGCCTCAGTCTCCCAAGTAGCTGGGATTACAGGCATGCGCCACCATGCCTAACTAATTTTTTTTGTATTTTTAGTAGAGACAGGGTTTCACCATGTTGGCCAGGTTGGTTTCAGAATCCTGACCTCGTGATTTGCCTGCTTCAGCCTCCCAAAGTGCTAGGATTACAGGCATGAACCACCACACCGGGCCCACAACCACAATGCTTTGAGAATTAATTATGTGTACTCCCTCTGCGCTAGCAACCAGCCTCAGAAGTACAGGCTGACACCCTCGTTCCCTGCTGATCTGGAGTTGGGAGGATGTTAGGTGGGCAAGCAAAAATACCATCGTACTCTCTTACCGCAAAACAGAGCCGTGTGTGTGTGTGTGTGTGTGTGTGTGTGTGTGTGTGTATGTGTGTGTGTGTGACAGAGTTTCACTCTTTTGCCCAGGCTGGAGTGAAGTGGTTTGAGATCGGCTCACTGCGACCTCCACCTCCCACATTCAAGCAATTCTCCTGCCTCAGTCTCCCAAGTAGCTGGGATTACAGGCATGCGCCACCATGCCCAACTAATTTTTGTATTTTTAGTAGAGACAAGGTTTCACCATGTTGGCCAGGCTGGTCTCAAACTCCTGACCTAAGGTGATCCAACTGCCTTGGTCTCCCAAAGTACTGGGATTACAGGCGTGAGCCACTGCGCCTGGCCAAAACTGTTTTTTATTTTTATTTTTTGAGACACATTATCTATCTGTCAGCCAGGCTGGAGTGCAGTGACACAAAATGGCTGACTACAGTTCGACCTCCTGGGCTCAAGCAATCCTCTCACCTCAGCCTCCTGAGTAGCTGGGACTACAGACTCACCACACCCAGCTACTATTATTATTAATTATTATTATTTTGTAGAGACAAAGTCTTGCTATGTTGCCCAGGCTGGTTTCAAACTGACCTCAGGTGATCCTCCCACCTTAGCCTCCCACAGTGCTGAGATTTCAGGTGTGAGCCACCACACCCAGCCCTTAAAAACAGATTTACTAATGACCACAAAGGTGCTCCTGTCCACTCAGGATCTTTTTTTAAAAAAAAAAGTTGGGTTTCTCCATGTTGGTCAGGCTTGTCTTGAACTCCTGACCTCAGGTGATCCGCCCACCTTGGCCTCCAAAGTGCTTGGATTACAGGTGTGAGCCACCACGCCCGGCCGGCCTCACCCAGGATTTTATGTTCATTACTGGCTCAGCACAATCTGCAGCCCTAATCATCCATTTCTTTTTTTTTCATAACAAACACTGTTCAGGCCCCAAAGAATGTCTCATCTATTGTCCTAAAATCTCAAAACAAAAGGCAACTATGGCCAGATGTGGTGGCTCACACCTGTAATCCCAGCACTTTGGGAGGCCAAGGCAGGCAGATCAATTGAGGTCAGGAGTTCAAGACCAGTCTGGCCAACTCCATCTCTACTAAAAAATACAAAAATTAGCCAGGTGTGGTGGCGCTCAACTGTAATCCCAGCTACTAGGGAGGCTGAGGCAGGAGAATGGCTTGAACCAGGGAGGCGGAGGTTGCAGTGAGCCAAGATCGTGCCACTGCACTCCAGCCTGTGGGGCACAGCAAGACTCCGTCTCCAAAAAAAAACTATATCTGAATGTCAGGAAGGTTTGTGGGTTGCAGCTGCTACCAATGTTGGAGACTCACACTGCTTCAGAGTATGCAGAGAACTTGAGTGTTTAAACACTTAAGAGGAAGCATAAATCAATTCTTTAGTTCCTCTTCTCAGGTAGCCTAAATGCAGCAGATTCTTGCATAACGAGTATCATTTCTCAGAAGTGCTGAGAGCCCATTTTTCTGTTTCTCCTCATGTTCCAAATTATGCCTCCAAACATACTCATGAGTTAGAGAGTAACATGGGTCAGGCGTGTTAGTTCATGCCAATAATCCCAGCACTTTGGGAGGTTGATGCCAGAGGATCACTTGAAGCCGGGAGTTCAAGACCAGCCTGAGCAACATAATGAGACCCGCCCCCCCATCTCTACAAAAATTTTAAAGTTTAAATAAAAATAATAAAACATTTTAAAAGAGGCCAATATAGCCACTCACTGTAGCTGAGGAACATTTAGCCATTTAAACAATTCATACCACTCTCTAATTTGTACAAAAGATCTAGACACAGAATGTACGATGCAGTAGCAGTCCTTTAGGTGAGCATTTAGACTGACATTGACTATTAGAACTGGGAAGAGTTATTTAATAATAATATGCAATAAGATTTAAGTTTTCAAAATATTAAATTTTTCAGCTTTTATTTAGTTTTCTTTGAGACAGTATCTCACTCTGCCGCCGAGGCTGGAGTGCACTGGTGCAATCACACCTCACTGCAGCCTCAACCTCCCCAGGCTCAGGTGATCCTCCCACCTCAGTGGAGCTGCGGGGCCTACAGGTGTTCACCACTACGCCTGGCTAATTTTTGTATTTTTTGTAGAGATGGTATTTCATCATGTTGCCCAAGCTGGTCTTGAACTCCTGGGCTCAAGTGATCCGTCCACCGCAGTCTCCCAAAGTAGTAGGATTATAGGCATGAGCCACTGTGCCACCCAATTTTCAGCCCTAAGCACTTTTTATTTAAAACTTTGCAAAAATACAAAAAATTAGCTGGGCATGTTGGCAGGCACATGTAGTCCCCAGCCTCCTGAGTGGCTTGGATTAGAGGCTGTCACCACGCCCATAATTTTTGTATTTTTTGTAGAGAGGGGGTTTTACCATGTTGGCCAGGCCAGTCTCAAACTCCTGACCTCAGATGATCCACTTGTCTCGAACTCCGTAAGTGCTGGGATTATAGGCGTGAGCCATCGCACCCAGCTGTATCATGCTTTGAAAGGCATGCTTTCCCATGGCCATGAGAGCCAGGGATTATTTTTTAAAGCACAGTACCATGCCCTTGGAGAGGTTAGATGCTGGGGATACACAGATGACTAAGAGGGCGCTTGCTGTAGGGAGGCTCAGCCCATTAGGGATTAACAGGTTCCAAAAAGGGCCCCGACTGCTTGTTTGTGCACCCTTGTGTCCGAGTGCCTAACATTGTCTGGACGCTGTAGACTTCTAATAAACACTGGATAAGACCAGGAGAATGCATGACGGAACACGCTAAGGGCCAGCAGAGTAGGCTGGGGTTTAAATATATTCAAATGCTGATTTGACCACTTCCCAGCCTATTGGACAAATGGCTTTACAATTCTGTGCCTCACTTTTTTTCACCTGAATAACTAGAGCTGGGCCAGGCATGGTGGCTCACGCCTGCAATCCCAGGACTTTGGGAGGCTAAGGGGGGCAGATTACCTGAGGTCAGGAGTTCAAGACCAGCCTGGCCAACATGATGAAACCCTGTCTCTTCTAAAAATACAGAAAAATTAGCTAGGCGTAGTGGTATGTGCTGGTAGTCTCAGCTACTCAGGAGGCTGAGGCATGAGAATCACTTGAACTTGGGAGGTGAAGGTTGCAGTGACCTGAGATCACACCACTGCATTCCAGCCTGGGTGACAGAACAAGACTTTGTCTCAAAAAAACTGGAGCTGCTAATTGTACCCATGATGCAGAACTCTTAAGATTAAATAATGTGTTAACGCTCTTAGCTCCATGCCTGGCAAGCACTAACCACCATTAGTTTCATTAATACAGTCACACTTTTAGGAGAAAGATAAAGTATAACACATGTTCCTTTTGGAGGAAGATAAATGGAAGTGACTTGACTCTTGGCAACATCTTTGGAGAGAAAAAGGCATTCCAGATGGGATGAACCATGCATGAAGGCTGAAGTGGAGCATGTATGGAGTCCACTGAGGATCTGGGATTGGTATGTTATGTCTTTGGCAACAATGGATTAGACTGAAAAGCCAAGTGAGATTGAGAGCTTAGGTCTCCCAGAGCTTGCTTTCTCTCTGGCCAGGAACTGAAAGTGAACTTCCTAACCTGGGGTGAAGTTGCCTTCTCAGATGTTGGTCTAGACCCAGATTCCAACTCTGCCTTGCCCAGAGACTCTTCACCCTCAGGTGAGTCAATAGCCTCTAAGCGAGGACATTTGGCATGCACCAGTACAGACGTGTTGCTGAATGTAGAGGTCCCTGGCAGTGGTTCCTTGGTATTTTGAAGGACAAATTTCTTTCGGCTTCTGCTCAAAGGCTCTGTGGAATGTCTCTCCAAAAAAATGCACAGGTGGTTAAGTTTTGCATGTATTGCCCAGCAGTGCATTATATCCCTGACACCTGCGGCTCCGAGGTGAGACCTGGATAGATGTCATTGAGGTGGGACTGGATGATCCAGATGCTATCACCCTCTCCCCACCCCAGGGTCTCTGCCTGTCAGCAGAGAAGTATGCTGGGAAGCTGGGATCACCCCACGGGGGAAATACTTGTTTCTGAGCCAAGATATCCTGCCAGCAGGAAACTAAACTGTCTTCAGATCTGCAAGCCCTGGGGTCTAGTCCCACACCCTGGGTCTTATTATATATATATATATATATTTTTTTTTTTTTAAACCACCTTGGAAGTGGGGGTGGGGGCGGGGATGAGGGTGAGGGGCTTCAGACATTCCGAGGGCTAGTGGATTCTGCAAATCACCTTCTGGGCAGAGATGAGGGTGAGGGCTGGGGATGGGGTGAGGGGTTTCAGACATTCCGAGGGCCAGGGGACTATTTGACATTCCGATTGTTACTTAAGTGGTTAGCATTCGTTTACACATTGTCTGGGTAGGGTGGGGATCACAGTCCTTAATTACTTATTTACATTTGGGTTAGAGAGAGCAGTTTCCTTATTTTTATTTTTATTTTTTATTTTTTTTTTAAAGAAGGGGAAAAAAAGAAAAAGAGGGAAAAAGGAATATTACTTCATTCCTAAAATGGGTTTCAATAATGGCCGATCAATATTTTGAGTGTTTAAAGTGGTTAACGCATATTTTATGTGTTTAAAATGGAGACCTCTATTGTGTTTATTTGTTCTGGCTCTGAGTTCAAGTCCTGGATATCGTTATCAATTTGTTGTCTCGTTGAATCTAAATCTCGTTATGTGTCTTATGTATCTGGGTGTTAAGATCTCTTATTGTTACATTAATCCTTTTACCCTTGCATCCTTGTAGCTTTGAAATCTATTTTATTAAGTGTGAGAATTGCAACTCCTGCTTTTTATTTATTTATTTTTGCTCTCCATTTGGTTGGTGAGTTTTTTCCATCCCCTTGTTTTGAGTCTTTGTATATCTTCAGATATATCGTTAGATTTTGTGGATAATGTATATTTTGTGTGTTTAAAATGGAGAGCTCTATTGAGTTTGTTTGTTCTGGATCTTAGTTCCAGTCCCGGATATCGTTATCAATTTTCTGTCTCGTTGAATCTAAATCTCATTATGGGTCTTATGTATCTGGGTGTTAAGATCTCTTATTATTACATTAATCCTTTTACCCTTGTATCCTTGTAGCTTTGAAATCTATTTTGTCAAATGTGAAAATTGCAACTCCTGCTTCTTATTTATTTATTTTTGCTCTCCATTTGGTTGGTACGTTTTTGTTTTTTTTTTTTCCAACCCTTTATTTTGAGTCTATGTATATCTTTGGATATACCGTTAGATTTTTTCTGTATCTTTTGATTGGGAGATTTGGTCGATTTAAATTTAGGGTTGCTGCCATTTGTTATTAACTGGCTATTTTGTCCTTTCGTTGATAAAAATTCTTCTTTATGTTAATGCTCTTTACTTTTTGGTGTATTTTTAGAAAGGGTCATACTGGTTGTTCCTTTCTGTATATAATGCTTCTTTTAGAAGTTCTTGTAAAACAGGCCTGGTGGTAATAAAATCTCTGAGTACTTGCTTGTTGCTAAAAGATTTTATTTTTCCTTCAAATGTAAAGCTTAAATTGGCAGGATATGAAATTCTGGGCTGAAAGTTCTGTTGATTAAGTATATTGAATATTGGCCCCCACTCTCTTCTAGCTTGTAGGGTTTCCGTTGAGAGATCTGCTGTAAGCCTAATAGGTTACCTTTATGGGTGACTTGATCTTTCTCTCTGGCTGCCCTTAATATTTTCTCCCTTTCGATCTTGGTGAATCTAATGATTATGTGCCTTGGGGTTGGTCTTCTTGAGGAATATCTTTGTGGTGTTCTCTGTATTGCCTGGGGTTAAATAGTGTCCTGCTTTGCTAAATTAGGAAAATTTTCCTGGATAATGTCCTGGAGAGTATTTTCCAGCTTGACTTCATTCTCTCCCTCACATTCAGGTACACCAATCAAGCGTATTTAGGTCTTTTTACATAGTCCCATATTGCTTGGAGACTTTGCTCATTCCTTTTTATCCTTTTTTCTCTATTCTTGTCTTGTCGTTTTGTTTCATTAAGTTGGTCTTCTACCTCTGATACCCTTTCTTCTGCTTGATCCATTCGGCTGTTTAAGCTTGTACATATTTCACTAAGTTCTCGTGTTGTATTTTTCAACTCCATAAGTTCATTTGTATTCCTCTCTATATTGTCTATTCTTTTCAACATTTCATCGAACCTTTTTTCCAAGTTCTTAGTTTCTTTACATTGGGTTAGAACAAGTTGCTTTAACTCCCAGAAGTTTCTTATCATCCACCTTTTAAAGCCAACTTCAGATAATGGAACACAGTCCTTTTCCATCAGGGCTTGTTCCGTTACTGATGAGTCCTCTTCCATCAGGGCTTGTTCGGTTGCTGATGAGACCTTTTCCATCAGGGCTTGTTCCGTTGCTGATGGGTTCTGATTTTGAGTATACTCGGCCTTCTTATACTGTCTTTTTCCCTTCATTGTAGATGAACCGCCTTTCTAATTAGTTTTCTGAGTCGACATCCGACTTATTGATTCCCAGTGCTGGGATCCGAGCAACCCACTGTGGCAGCCTAAATAGCAGCGATAAGACTGATGGTGCTCTTCTGCCCGGGAATCTCTGGTCTGGCTTCCCTCTTGAGTCCGCAACAAGCGGCTCTGACTTCCCGGAGCTCCAAACTCCGGTCAGTAGGGGAAGCAGTCCCGTTGGCTCTGCATGAAGAGCTGCTCCGCCGAGACGCCGGCAAAACCGCTGCGGTGGCCACAAGAGTCGCGCTGGCGACCCGTGGGGCTCCTCCACTGGGAATCGGCTAATCGGTGAGTGACGAAAATTCGTCTAATGATGTGGCGTCGTCTCCTTCTCTGAGCTTTCACTGGGAGCTACAATCCTGAGCTGTTAGTGGTCGGCCATCTTGGATCGATCTCCCCTGGGTCTTATTATAAAGCCACTTAAAGGATCTAAGAAACATGGGCTAAGGTCATCTGCTTCCTTGCCAACATAAAGAACAAGTGAAATCCACCAACCACACGACTCACTTTCCCTATCGTATTTCTCCAACTCCTGACCACTTCTAAGGAACACAGGATCCCCACAAAATGGTGACAACAAATGAAGCCATTGCCATATCCTATTTTATTTTTGAAGTCAGTGTCCAGAAACTGACAATTCACTCAATCAACATGTAACTGACTAAGGTATCCCTAGGTGCCAGGCTAGCAGGCTAGGGACCAGAGACACAGTGGTACAAGTCACAGCCCTGACCCAAGAGCTTACACCTTTGGCCTAAGAAAATCCTTCTGGACTTTTACCCATGCCTGTGACTGTCATGTGCCAAGTGTGCTTTATACAATCTTATTTTTCTCTCAACTCGGGTACAGATTTTCCATCATTCCCATTAGATAGGGACGTTGAGGCTACTGAGTGGTAAAGGAAACCTGAATTCTGGTGCTGGACTGCCAAACCCATGTTAATTACTCACAGCCTCCCAAACATGCCTCTCAACTCACTTCTCACAAATGCAGGCCGTTATCTGCCCCATCTCCAGGGCCATTCTAACATTCGTAGCTACTTCCCACATCTTACAGAGGTTGACCCATGCCCCTTGGTAAGGTAGCTTCTCTCCCCTCTGTATACCACCTGGATAGCCAAGGGCAGAGCAGAGACTGGGGGACAGGCCCAAGTGCCAGGTCACCACTCACTACCTCCTGTGATCTAGAGTGCTCACCACTTCAATGGGCACCTGCAAGTGGCACCAGATCCTCTTGGAACAATTCCTAAGTCTGGGCACAGTGGCTCACACCTGCAATCCCAGGCCTTTTGGAGGCCAAGGTGGGTGGATTACCTGAAGTCAGGAGTTCAAGACCAGCCTGGCCAACATGGTGAAACCCCATCTCTACTAAAAGTACAAAAATTAGCTGAACGCGGTGGCACATACCTGTAATCCCAGCTACTCAAGAGGCTGAGGCACAAGAATTGCTTGAACCCAGGAGGCAGCGGTTGTAGTGACCTGAGATCAGCCACTGCACTCCAGCCCAGGCAACAGCAAGACTGTCTTTGCCTGTAATCCCAGCACTTTGGGAGGCCAAGGCGGAAGGATCACTTGAGGCCAGGAGTTCAAGACAAGCCTAGGCAAGACGGCAAAACCCCATCTCTACTAAAATTAGCCGGGTGTGGCAACACACACCTATAATCCCAGCTACTCGGGCAGCTGAGGCAGACAATCATTTGAACCTGGGAGGCAGAGGCTGCAGTGAGCTAAGATCGTACCACTGCACTCCATCTAGCCTAAGGAACAGAGTGAGTCTCTGTCTCAAAAAAAAAAAAAAAACCTAACTAAAATATTTAGTGACAAGTACCTGGTTTTGGCAGACAGCAGGAGTGACTGTTTTCTTATGCGTATTGATTTCATAAGAACTTTTTCCCCCAGGGCACTCCTCTATAAAGCAGTCATACAGCAGTTTCCCAAACCTGAATCCCAACCTGGACTCAACTGCCCAGGGCCAGACACACCTGCCTCTGGCAAGCCAGGAGGGTTATGGTGTGGTATCACAGGCTGTATTAGTCACTTCAGGGAACAGCATTCACCAATAAACAAAGCAAATGCGGGCTGCTGCAGAAGCTCTGGCTACATTGCTGTAAAGGCTGAAAACGACCAAGTAGAAGCACCAGAGTCCATGAGGCATTTTATTTGTAAATATATGTATCACATCCCTAGAAAAAGAATCCCAGGATTTTCCCTCCTGTGTGTTTTCGTCTTGCTTCTTCATGGTCCATGATGCCAGCTGAGGTTGTCAATACAATGAAACTACGGAGTAGAAAAAGAAAATGCTGGTGAGTTAATAATTCAATATAGAGCTGCTTTCTGGTGCAGAAAAACATCAACACTCATCAGTAGTTAAGGACGCCTTCCTGTGGGGCACACAGCAACAGAGAGTGTCTATAATGTAGCGTATGAGCACTATCTGCAACCCAGTGACCCCAGCCACACACTCACACAGCCCTGACTTCTGCAAACACCATGAAACAAACATGATTGAAAACAAAAGGTGGGAACTCCTTTAACCTCAAATGTCACTTTCTGCTCTCAGATAAGGAGACTTCAAAGTATTCACATAAACTTGAATCTAAATTGTGTTTCTACCAGGCACTGTGTAATAGATAAGCTATTATATGAAGACATGTTCAGGTGTACAGTGAGTGGCTGCTTCATGAGTTACCATGGGGATCAATGTAACAAGCATATAGTATGCAAATATGAGGCATTGAAATCAGTAACATAATTACAAAGAGATAGATTTTTCTTCTTTTTTTTGAAATGGAGTCTCTCTGTAGCCCAGGCTGGAGTGCAGTGGCGAGATCTCGGCTCACTGCAACCTCCACACCTCTGGGTCCAAGTTCAAGCAATTCTCCTACCTCAGCCTCCCAAGTAGCTGGGATTACAGGCACGAGCCACCATGCCCAGCTACTTTTTGTATTTTTTAGTAGAGACAGGATTTCACCATGTTGGCCAGTCTGGTCTTGAACTCCTGACCTCCCAAACTGCTGATCCACCCACCTTGGCCTCCTAAACTGCTGGGATTACAGGCGTGAGCCACCACGCCCAGCCGAGATATGATTTTTCTAAGAGAACACTGTACCTGTAATACAGCAACCATGAAGTGAGAATACATTCAACCAAGACACCAAACGCCTAATTTGGAGGATATAAATTCTTTTTTTTTTTTTTGAGACAGTCTTGCTCTGTTGCCAGGCACCAGGCTGGAGGGCAGTGGCACAATCTTGGCTCACTGCAACCTCTGCTTCCCGGGTTCAAGCAATTCTCCTGCCTCAGCCTCCTGAGTAGCTGGGACTACAGGCATGTGCCATCACACCCAGCTAATTTTTGTATTTTAGTAGAGACGGGGTTTCACCATGTTGGTCGGGATGGTCTCAATCTCTTGACCCTGTGATCCACCCGCCTCGGCCTCCCAGAGTGCTGGGATTACAGGCATCAACCACCGTGCCCAACCCGGAGGGCATAAATTCTTAACCACAAACATACGAATTTACTGTGCCAGCTCATGAAGTGCTTTACCAAAATTAAATCAGATGATAAAGAGAGGAACTATTACTACTTTTACAGATGAAGAAATCAAGGCTATGATTTGCCCAAAATCTCATGGCTTTAAAGCAGAAAAACAAGGATTTGAACTCAGACAGGCTCTTAGGGACAAAGATTCCCAAAGTAAGTTTTCCCAAAGGCCTAGGCTTCAGAAGTGATTCTGGCTGAGTCTGGGATCACAGGGAACACACAGTATGAACTATCTGCAGTGAGCCAAAAGGCCAGACATGAAAGTGGACACGACCCTCCCCTTCTGCCAGTCCAAGTTCTCATGCGCCTCTCAGAACCTGAAGCCCAACACACGGTATGTGGCAAATGGCCAGGCACAGTGGCAGGTGCCTGTATTCTGAAATCCTCAAGTGGCTGAGCAGGGAGGACTGCCTGGGGCTAGGAAGTCAAGGCTGTAGTGTGTTATGACCACACCTGTGAACAGCCACTCCACCCAAGCCTGGGAAACAAAGTGAAACCCTTTTAAAGAGAGAGAAAAGAAATACTGATGAACACTTGAGCTAATTCTTAGGTCAAACTGGTTGAGAATAGACAATAGTGAGAATAGAGACTACTACTGCTTTGCTTTAAAAAGAGAAAAAAGAAAAAACCTCAAGTCAAACTGCATCACAGCAACTCTTAGCATTAACTTTTTTTAATTAAGGAAAGGCCAACTTACCCAAACTGGCGGGACGGAAGCAGATTATTCTGCCATTTTTCTAGATCTTTGAGTTGCACATCAAATCTGGGGCTGATCACACCACACTGTAAAATAACAGCAAATAAATATTGTTCACTTTACCAGTAACAGAAAAACTTAGTAACACAAGATGGTATTCATAAATGAACAGACCTCCAAACCAAACCCCAACATTCAGATGGGTACCTATTCTGTGCACAATCCTTGACATGCTTTTCAAAAAATACACTTAAGAAAGACTATGCCGGCCTACGAGAAAAAGTAAAGGCATGAAAAGATGGGACAAGGTAAAACACGGCAGTGTCAGGCCACTGGCGCACTCCTGGGGGCTGGAGAGCTGTCCAGAATAATCAGATTTTACACAGCTAAGAGATCAAGTCTTAGACAAGGGAGACTATAGCCTACCCTTTCTCTCCTTTTTTGAGACGGAGTCTCGCTCTGTCCCCCAGGCTGGAGTGTGGTGGTGCCATCTCAGCTCACTCCAACCTCCACAGCCCAGGTTCAAGCAAGTCTCTTGCCTCAGCCTTCTGAGTAGCTGGGACTGCAGGTGTGTGCCACCAGACCCAGCTATTTTTTTTTTTTTTTTTTGTATTTTTAGTAGAAACAGGGTTTCACCATGTTGGCCAGGATGGCCTCAATCTCTTCACCTAGTGATCCACCCGCGCTGGCCTCCTAAAGTGCTGGGATTACAGGCGTAACCCACAACACCTGGCCAATAGCCAACCCTTTTTTACATAGTAAGGCTAAAATAAAATCTTAGGGTCTCAAATCCTGAAGCTCCTAAGCTAAAACTGCAAATTCTTAGAATATCTAAAGAACACGCTATACACGCACTGAACTAAGAACGCTGCTTCCACCAATGAAGTACAATTACACTTTTCCAAGGAACAATGTCCTACAACCCCAGGCAAATTTCTCAAATGAATCTGACAAAATGATGGAAGGCAGAAAGAGCAAAGGGCTTGCAATTATCTCATCTTATCACTACTTGTGTCCAGACACAGCAACAATGATCCTCCTAAGTGAGAGCTCTCCAAGAGCTCTGTCATCACTCAATTATATGCCAGCCCTATAACACTACATCTTCCAACAAAGCCCACTAACTGAAAACCCTCTGTTCACAAAATCTGCTCTACAATCACAGGCATACTTAAAGGCACTTCCAAAAGCAGAGACTGACCCACAGAAACTGAAAATGTGCTTGTCAAAAAGGCCCAACTGCTTTACACCAGGAAGCCTGCTTAAGTTCTCCTACCATTACCCCATCAGCTATGCTGTGACTTGATTAACAAGGACAGTCTCACAGCGGATGAAAGAAATGCAGGGATAGGAATACGGGAAAACTAGTTTTATCCAAGCAAGCTATATAGCGAAAGATCTCTCCAAAGTCTGCCACATGCTGCGTCCAAGTTTTATGTTGATTCCAGCAGCAAAAATCCCTCTAATTCTGATAGAATTAAAATAGCATTATAATCCCAGCACTTTGGGGGGCTGAGGCAGGTGGATCATGAGGTCACAAGATCAAGACCATCCTGGTCAATATGGTGAAATCCCATCTCTACCAAAAAAAATTTAAAAATTAGCTGGGCAGAGGTGCACGCCTGTAGTCCCAGCTACTCGGGAGGCTGAGCCAGGAGAATCGCTTGAACCCAGGAGGCGGAGGTTGTGGTGAGCTGAGATCACACCATTGCACTCCAGCCTGGGTAACAGGAGCGAAACTCCGACTCAAAAAAAAAAAACCCAGCATAACCCTCCCAACACAGAGAATCCTAAGAGGATGTGATCAAGGCCAAAATTTTAATAAATCTAGTCTTTACACATTATCTTATTTCCAAGCTCAATTTCCACACTAAGGGTAGGTCCATGTCTTGGATGAAAGCAATGGAGGCAGACATTCTCTTATAAATTGAGAGAAACTGACTCCTGAGAAACAAAAATTGTTTGCTTTGCCCAAAGTCAAAGAGCAGGCCAGGTGCCATGGATCATCTGAGGCTATGAGTTCGACACCAGCCTGGCCAATGTGGTGAATCCCGGTCTTTACTAAAAATGTAACAGCTAGCCAGGTGTGGTGGTGCACACCTGTTACTAGGGAGGCTGAGGCAGGAGAATCACTTTTACCTAGGACACGGAAGCTGCAGTGGCCAAGATGATGCCACTGCACTCCAGCCTGGGTGACAGAGCAAGACTCCATTAAAAAAAAAAGGCACAGAGCAGCAGGGCCTGTATATCAACTGTTGTAGGCTACAATTTCTCAAATTAGTGTACCACAGAACAAGAGTGCCACAAATAAGTTCCATTTACAGAATGCTCTGTTCAAATTTACTTCTTGGCTGGGCCTAGTGACTCACACCTGTAATCGCAGCACTCTGGGAAGCTGAGGTGGGAGAATCACTTGAACCTACGAGTTCAAGACAAACCTAAGCAACATAGAAAGATCCCACCTCTACAAAAAAGCTATAAAAAATTTAGCAGTCACCGGGCATGGTGGCTCACACCTGTAATCCAGTACTTTGGGAGGCCAAGCAAGGCAGGTGGATCACCTGAACTCAGGAGTTCAATACCAGCCTGACCAACATGAAACCCTGTCTCTACTAAAGATACAAAAATTAGCCAGGTGCGGTGTCACATGCCTGTGATCCTAGCTACTTGGAAGGCTGAGACAGTAGAATCACTTGAACTCAGGAGGTAGAGGCTGCAGTGAGCCAAGATGGCACCGCTGCACTCCAGCCTGGGCCAGAGCAACTGTCTCCAAATATAAACTAATAAAAACAAATCAATCCTACTTTGATGTGGGGTTCTAATGGCTACAACTACAACAAAACATGACATACCAAAAAATTACCCTTGCAAGTTCTTCAAATCTTATGGAGTTTTGCTCTGTCACCCAGGCGGGAGTACGGTGGCTTGGTCTTGGTTCACTGCAACCTCTGCCTCCCAAGTTCAAGCAATCCTCCTGCCTCAGCCTCCCAAGTAGCTGGAATTACAGTGGCCCGCCACGACACCCCGCTAATTTTGTATTTTAGTAGAGATGGGGTTTCACCATGCTGCCCAGGCTGGTCTCAAACTCCAGCCCTCGTGATCCACCTGCCTCGACCTCCCGAATTGCTGGGATTACAGGTGTGAGCCACTGTACCAGGCCAATTCTTCAAAACTTTATGAATACTTCAGCAACTCACTTTCTGGGTAGCCTTCCCCCCTGATCTGTTGGACTAGACAAAGGGGTGTCCAAGGGAGAGAATACAGTCCTGGGCTCTTAATTTCTGTTTCTAGTTTAGCCAGTAAGGCCCCTTCCTCATCCCTTTTCTATTTATCATTAGAGACAGAAACTTTACCATGGTTTCATACTGCTAAAAGCCTAAAACAAAACACAACAACAAAATAAGGCAGGCTGGACAAGCCTGGACTAGAGGGAACTGACTCCTTGCAAATCTGAAAGCTATAAGCTTGAACAGAGGAAGCACAGTGGACCCCTCAACTAGCTTACAGACACCTGACCCCAAAACACACTCAATCACTTAAACCACAAAGTCAGTTAAGGTGTTGACAAGTCAAATTGAAAAGCAGCACAGACCCCAAACACCAATGCCAGCAAAACCAGAAAAAGTATTAGTAGTGCTATGTAGAAAGCCCCATTAACTCAAAGATAAAAAGATTCAGTTCAAAACACCCAACATGTCACTGAGAGGAAGGATGCAACATCTTGGACAAAAGGCTCAGTGGCCTTGAGCCACCCAAGTTCAAGCCAGTGAGGTAGGTATGTTAACATCCAGTACCAGCACTGATTGGTTTCACCCCGTCCCCCCTGCGACAGCTTATACCCCATGAAAACAGTAGGTCAACTGACATAATTCTAGCAGTCAACCCAGGAGAACAAATGAAGGTATATGGATAAAGTATGGCACCACTATTCAGTATATACACAACAGTATGCCACACTAAAAAACTCTTAAGGCTTTGAAATGTGTGTAGATCACTAAATCTTACCTTGTTTAGCCTGCCTGTGAGGTTCACAACAATTTTCCCAGCTCTGTGATCATCAATGATTTCAAATTCGCCAATGTAACCTGCAAAAAATAACTGGATTAAATACAAGACCAACTTGAGAGCTAAATCTTTGTGCTCCTCTAACCTACTCAATTCTTCACTCTCTCATCACCTCAGTGACTGCTTCTCCAAGAAGCTGGGGGGAAGACAGTTGCTCTGTATCAGAATTTTCACAACCTAATATAAAACATTTAGGAGACAATACCCAAAACAATCCACCTTGCAATTCTAAAAGAAATTATTTACCCCTTGCCCCTTCCTTCACTCTTTCCCACTCCCAAAGGCTACTTTATGCCAAAGATGTGAATAATCCAATCTTTCTTCTCCTTCCCAAAGGGTCCTGAAAAGAGCTCAGGAGTCTCACACTGTCCCCCAGGCTGGAGTGCAGTGGCCAGTGTCAGCTCGATGAAACCTCCACCTGCTGGGTTCAAGCAATTCTCCCTGCCTCGGCCTCCCAAATAGCTGGGATTACAGGCACCTGCCACTACACCTGGCTTTTTTTTTTTTTTCCTTAAGTAGATATGGAGTTTGCCATGCTGGCCAGGCTGGTCCTGAACTGAGCCCAGGAGTCCTTTCAATGACTCGGGTTCAGTTAGCTCTCAAACACCTAGCAGGGCCCCTTTTCCCAGCAGTCCTACCCTAAGTGACTCTTTAGGAGTTTGCATTCGTTCTCAGGTACAAGAGACATATACTTTGGTCTCTCAAAATTTCTACAGGACTAATTTTTCTTTTTTCTAAATTTGTTCTTCTTGCCTATTCTGGAGGGCAATGGGGCAATCTTGGCTCACTGCAACCTCCACCTCCCAGGTTCAAGAGATTCTCTTGCCTCAGCCTCCCAAGTAGCTGGGATTACAGGAGTGCGCCACCATACCCAGCTAATTTTGTATTTTTAGTAGAGATGGGGTGTCTCCGTGTTAGCCTGGTCTCGGCCTCCCAAAGTACTGGGATTACAGGCATGACCCACCACGCCTGGCCTAGGGCTGATTTCTTAAGAGTCTCACATTAAAACATAAAACACAGCGGCAGCACACTTACCATGCTTCATCATCACAGTGAGAAACCGGACGATGACTTTGGAGCACGGCCTAATAAGCACCTGGCGTTTGCCTCTCTTTTCGGCATTGTTGATGCTCTTGAGAGCATCAGCCAGGACATTCATGCGCACCATTGTGGCTGTTAGGGGAGACAAAATAGGAGGCTTTACTGGCATTGCTGACAACACTCAACAACCATTACACGGCAGAAGCATCATTTTCTTTCTGGCCCCACCTTGGCGAAGTTGTCTTAAGTCTAAGCAGGCTGCTTCGCCATTTCCCACCACCCAGGAAAATTCCTATTTACTACGGTTATTGAAAACAAGTTATCGGGATGTCAGCCTGCACATTTTAAAACTCATTCATTCGCTAACCACTCTTCTTCGAATCGTGCCACACCACCGTATGGAGGTAATAAAATGTGGGACAAAATCCACCTCACACAAGAAAACATCAGAATTGGTGGAAACTGCCAGCACCAAAACGAAAACATTGGATATACTCAACCGGTGATTCAGAACAGAAGCAGAACGTCACCGGCAACATTTTTCAAATTGCGGAAAATCCGCAGATTCTGTACTATTAACATTGTCCTTTAAATCAGTTCACTCTGGCCGGGCGCGGTGGCTCACGCCTATAATCCCAGCACTTTGGGAGGCCGAGGCGGGTGGATCACGAGGTCAAGAAATCGAGACCATCCTAGTCAACAAAGTGAAACACCGTCTCTACTAAAAATACAAAAATTAGCTGGGCATGGTGGCGAGCGCCTGTAGTCCCAGCTACTCGGGAGGCTGAGGCAGGAGAATTGCTTGAACCCCGGAGGCGGAGGTTGCGGTGAGCCGAGATCGCGCCATTGCACTCCAGCCTGGGTAACAAGAGCGAAACTCTGTCTCAAAATAAAAAAAATAAATAAGTTCACTTTTCACCTACCACGAAGACATCTATTAAACTTAACATCCATCTTTGTGCCATTTAAAATTGCGTCTAATAGCAAGAGCCACAGTGGCAAATAGAAACATTGTACATGCTGTCAGACTGGACACTTCTAATGGGCACGAAACGCACAATACACTAAAGTTTTGAAAGCTCTTAAGTATGGAGACCAAAGTGCCAACAGTAAAGAAAACTTCAGTCTCTCCCCTTAAGTTCCACAAAGTGTCTAAAGAAAAACTCCGCGGCCCAGAAGCTCCAAGTTAGCACCCAGCAAACCACCAACCACGGCACGATGCAGCTTTTACCTGTTAGGTGACCTCAACCTCCCAAGCTCCAAGCGCGGCGGCGGCGGCAATGAGAAACTGCACCGCCCACCAAACCCGATGCTGCCCGACACTAAACGAAGTGTGGGCCCAAGCGCTGCCTCAGACACTAAACGAAGATCCAGGCGCTGTGGCCGGAGCCGCAGCTACCGCCTAACTGGGCAGTCCAAGGCTCCGGCTCCCGCCAGCGCTGAGGCCTGAACCCGACGGACCCGGATCCCCGGAGTGCACAGCCTGGGACGCCCGGGCATGGCTATCCTCTATGCCTGTCCAAGAACCCGCAAGGCCAGCATCCTCTGCCAAGGAGGGGTCCAGCCTCCCCGCAGGACACCGAGAGCGAACCTTATATTGCGGGATGGCACAGATGACAGACGGATGAAATTGGAGCTCTCAGAAAGGGATACTCACCGGCACCGAAAGATGGCGGAAAGAGGACGGGAGGGGAGAGTGCACGGAGTTATGGGAAGCAGGAGAGCTATCGCGAGACTTTCAAAGGACCGGCAAAAACAAGGACCGCCTAAAAGGAGGAGGGCTAGGCGGAGCCTCCTCAGGGGTTGGCAGTCGAGAGTCGATGGAATCAACCTCCCCCGGTGCGGCCTCGAAGAGGCAAGGTGAGCCGTTCTTTGGAGGTTTGCCTACTTTTTATTTTCATTTTGTTTTTGATACGGAGTCTCGCTTTGTCGCCCAGACTGGAGTGCAGCCTAGAAGTTCGAGATCAGCCTGGGTAACATAGGGAGACCCTGTCGTTTTGTTTTTTAAAGTTATCCAGGTCCAAGTTTTCTAGAACCTACTTTGGCCAATAATTCAGAACTTAGATGCAGTATCTTTTGAGACTGAACCTTTATTTTTTGAAAAACATATTTCATACAATCTTTGCCATGTTAATGCAAATATGCACAAAGTAGGCATGTATTTTTGTTTTCCAACAGATGAATTATGAACATTTTCAGGAAGCTGGTATGATTTATTCAACTTTTAAATACAACCACAAAATTATATCCATCAGGAGGTATTACATACAACCTTTTGTACAGAGAAGCCACTACTTATACAATGTTACTAGGACAAGGAAGATTCAGTTCTACTTTTTCTTTTTTATACCGAGTCTCCCTCTGTCGCCCAGGCTGGAGTGCAGTGGCGCGATCTCAGCGCACTGCAGCCTTCACCTCCCTGGTTCAAGTGATTCTCCTGCCACAGCCTCCCAAGTAGCTGAGATGACAGCCATCACACCAGGCTAATCTACGTATTTTTAATAGAGATGGGTTTTCACCGTGTTGGCCAGGCTGGTCTTGAACCTCTGACCTCAAGTGATCCGCCCACTCCGGCCTCCCAAAGTGCTGGAATTATAGACGTGAGCCACCACACCCAGCTAAAAAAAAATTTTTATTAAAAAATAATTAAATCTCAGACATAAGTCACCCAACAGTTGCTTACTGAGCACCCAAGTACCAGCACTGAGCAAGGCCCTGGAGTACAAGGTACCTGTACAGGGACCATCTAGCCAGTTCTGTCCCCTGCTCGTTCTTCTAGCTTCATTCTCTCTCACACATCATCGTTGGCCCTTGATTGCATTTCCTCTTCCCTCTAGCATGGTGCCTGGATATTTGCTAAATAAGTAAACTTAAACCTTTTATTTCTGTTCTTTAAATTTTTCATAGACTCCTGCTCTGTTGCCCAGGCTGGAGTGCAGGAGTGCACTCATACTTCAATGTAACCTCAAATTCACGGACTCCAGTGAATCTTCCACTGAGGTCTCCCGAAGTGGTGGGATTACAGGTGTAGCCAACGAGCTCTGAAAGAGTACCTTAAAGACGTGTAAGGACCACACAGGGTACTTCACTAGTCAGATTCATAAATCCAATCATGTAAATATTATATTGGCTAAGATATAAAAAAAAAAAGTGAGACATGAAGAGTCTGGCTGTTTTTATTTTTTCCCCCTTTTACACAAAACCGAGTAGAAGAAATAATACAGGATTAAAACTGCAAAAGTAGTTAATCAGTAGAACATGTATACACAAAAAAATCCAGATAGGAAGACAGGCTTATTTACAATTAAAGTAAGGTAAAATTAAGGTGTTTTTCTTATGAAATATTTTTAAAAATCAAACATATGCTACAAAGGGCACCACTGTTTACAGCAATATTAAAGAGGAGAAAACAACACTTAATAGGGACAGATAAACCACAAGGTCCATAACATCAGTGCAACAAATTCTCAAAACTATATTACAGCTAGTTCATCAGTTTAAGGATTGTTCTCAAGTCAGTCACATTTTTGGCCCTCAGAAATTGATTCCTACAGATTTCAACTACTCTAAATTTCTAGCTACCGAGAAGTTAAGAACGATTATAAGAAGCTTTCCAAAGAGTTACAAAATCTTTGTAGACCAGAGGCGAACTATCATCACCTCAAGTCTGCTCTCACCAACAGCCCTTGTATTTTTCAGGGAGAAATCTCTAGGAAAAAAGTCAAGACACCAGTGTAGTCACTATCTCCCATGTCAAACCTAGGGGACTAAAATGGCCAGTATTACCATAAAATGAGAATTTTGAGGTTTACCTTAAAAGGCTTATTCTGGTATCAAAAATCAGTCAGATTATAATCTACTAAAATGAATCTTGACTAAACATATAAGACTGCCATCTTTTGCTGCTGGTCTTAGAGTACAAGTCATAGACGTGAGTTTTAACCTACTGTATACTATATAGCTAAAGTCAGCTGAAAATCTGAAATTAAAAGTATGCTAGACATCCTAAATGCAATCTTTTGAAACTCTGCCATTAAAAAGCCTTTAAGGATTTACTAACTTCAAGTCTAAGTGCAAGGGGACAAAAGCTTAAGCCTGTCAGACATTCCTTTTTTATTGACAAAAAGATCAAAGTTTCCTACAAATAGCTAAGTTTTGCACAAGGGAGAAACCTACACATACTAGCGCATGGAATCAGTTTCATTTTATTCCATGGGGACTCTTCTCCCACAGGAAAGAAACAGAATGAGGAATGAATCTTACTTGGTCTCTTCATCGGAAGTGGTAAACTTGGTCTCTGTATTCATGAAGTCAAACAGTTTTTTAAGGAGACTGTGGAAGCAGACAGTAGAACCAGCTTCCTGTAGCCACAGACCACTGCACTGAATCTAGCTAAAGCAAAGATGAGCCTGAACAATTATCCAGAGTCTCTTGAACTGTACTAAAGGGCAGGGGTCACCACTATGAAAAGGAAGTCATCAAAAAGCAAGAATTCAATTAACCCTGGCCACGAAAAATCAAAACAGGTCAGACACACTGAGTCACTCACGAGGTCAACTGCTATGCGACATGAAGACACTATGCACAAAGGCTTACTTGGCGAGCTCAATTTCTATTAACTAAGGGCAGAGTGAGGAGAGCGAAGAGCTACTTCTGAAACATTTTAGTATGCACACAGTACAGCAGAAACGGTTCCCAGGGGCAATGGGTGCTCCATTAATCACGCTGAATAAAGCAGATGAATTATTCGTTTTTCTTTTCTTTTTGTTTGAGAAGTTTGTTTATCTCCCTTTTGGCCATTCCAATGTACTTCGAAATGATTCCATGTTGGTTTAGTCCAGGAAGCAATAGTAAGGAAGTCACTTAAAATAAAAAAAATAAACAACATTAAGGAGGCAGCAATTAACTTGCTAAAGGTTATTTATTTATTTTTTTTGAGAGGGAGTCTTACTTTTTTTGCCCAGGCTGGAGTGCAGTGGCATGACCTTGGCTCACTGCAACCACTGCCTCCCGAATTCAAGCGATTCTCCTGCCTCATCTTCCCAAGTAGAGCAGCTGAGATTACAGGAACCTGCCACCACGTCCAGCTAATTTTCATATTTTTAGTAGATAAAGGTTTTCACCATGTTGGCCAGGCTGGTCTCGAACTCCTGACCTCAGGTGATCTGAGGTTATTGTGTGTGTGTGTGTGTGTGTGTGTGTGTGTGTGTGTGTGTGTCACAGTCTTGCTATGGTACTCAGGTTGGAGTGCAGTGGTGTGATCTCAGCTCACTGCAACCTCCACCTTCCAGGTTCAAGTGATATTCATGTCTCAACCTCCTGAGTAGCTGGGACTACAGGTGCGCGCGCATCACCATGCCTGAATAATTTTTTTTTTTTTTTTGAGATGGAGTTTCGCTCTTGTTACCCAGGCTGGAATGCAATGGTGTGATCTTGGCTCACCGCAACCTCCGCCTCCTGGGTTCAGGCAATTCTCCTGCCTCAGCCTCCTGAGTAGCTGAGATTACAGGCACACGGCACCGTGCCCAGCTAATTTTTTGTATTTTTAGTAGAGACGAGGTTTCACCATGTTGACCAGGATGGTCTCGATCTCTTGACCTCGTGATCTACCCGCCTCCGCCTCCCAAAGTGCTGGGATTACAGGTGTGAGCCACCGCACCCGGCCGTACTTTTTTAGTAGTGATAGGGTTTTGCCACGTCATGCAGGCTGGTCTCTAACTCCTGGCCTCAAGTGATCCACCTTTCTCAGCCTCCCAAAGTGCTGGGATTACAAGAGTGAGCCACCATGCCTGGCCAGTTATTACACTGTAAAGAAGGTAGGTTTCCAGATTACTAAACTCTGTAATGGGAGGAACCAACAGGAAACCAATTACTTCCACTGGGGTGTATCCCCAAAAACTTCTGCTCTCATCCCCTCTTCCACCTCAGAAAATCATCACTGCTTATTTTTACCTCTCGCACATTACTTTCTACCTTGGTTATTACATTGTTTTCACTTTCTATGAGACCATAATAATCTTTCTATATTCCCACAGTTCCCTTCCAGTATCTAAAACTTAGGAAGTACTCATAGTTGTTTACTGACGAAGTTACACTTAAACTTCACTGGCCAGGATATGCCTGTAGTTTTTCCGCAAAGACTTACCTATGAGGTAGGTAAGAAGCAGGTTGTGGACTTGCTGTCCCACCCAAGCAACCGCAGCAAGGGAAACGATCATGGTCATGAAGTACTAACAATGAAAACAAGAATTTATCAACTCCTAGAAACAGACTAAGCCTGACTTTAAGAAACTCTTTCACCATTCTACAATCTCTACATATATCAAAACTTCATGTGACACCATAAATATATGTAATTTTTATTTGTTAATTAAAGAAGAGTTTGTTTCAAAGTCTGGAAAATCATTTAGCTTTTATTATTACTTTTTTTTTTTTTGAGACGGAGGTTCGCTCGTTACCAAGGCTGGAATGCAATGGCAAGATCTCGGCTCACCGCAACCTCTGCCTCCTGGGTTCAGGCAATTCTCCTGCCTCAGCCTCCCGAGTAGCTGGGATTACAGGCACGCGCCACCATGCCCAGCTAATTTTTTGTATTTTTAGTAGAGACGGGGTTTCACCATGTTGACCAGGATGGTCTCAATCTCTTGACCTTGTGATCCACCTGCCTCAGCCTCCCAAAGTGCTGGGATTACAGACTTGAGCCACCACGCCCGGCCTCACTTTTGTTTAAAAATTCTTAGATTTAAAAACCTATTCCATTGGATCTACTTTACAGAAGTTTGATACATTTCTTCCTACAATTCTATATGTGGATATTTTATGATATAAATTATACAACCTTTTCAATTAATAACTTCATGGAGCAGCCTCACGTGAAGCTGACAGATAACAGATGAACAGATGCGTTTTTATTTTTTTGAGACAGAGTTTCATGTCATACAGGCTGGAGTGCAGTGGTGCAAACAGCTCACTGCACAAACAGCTCAATGGAGCCTCAACCTCCTGGGCTCAAGTGATCCTCAACTTCCCGTGTAGCTGGGATTATAGGCATGAGCCACCGTGCCTGGCCTAAGCAGATGCTTTCTATGGATATGTCTTTTTACTAGTATTTCAGTAAGAAAAATGAAATAGAAGAATTTTGTTTTAATAGAATAAAAAAATTAAATGCAAAAACGTTATTTTTAACTTTAAAATGATTCAGTCTGGTTAACACAGGTAAATATTTATGAATGTATTTAGGAGTTAACCAATGAATAAATTTCAAATTATAACTATTAAGACAAAAAAGGCAAAATAACTCAAATATTTAAATTTTACTGTACTTATTAAGTCAAAGCAAAAAAAGTACCATCTTAGGTTTTTCTTCCTTTAGTGTGAAGAGGCGTTTCCACCAACCCACAGCTCTGCGTCGAGTTTTTACTAGATTGCTGCAAATTTCATGGAATCTTTGCTGTTGTTCAGTGGTCCTAGAAAAAGAAATTTGTCTTTTGCTATAAACACATCGCTATAAGTTGACCAAAACACACCACCTTCTCCAATTTAAGAGCTATCTTCTAAAGAAAGTCAAAATAAAAACAGTGTCTCACCATTATCTTATATAAGTGAAAAAGTCCTTCCACCATTAAGATACCTTTTATAGCACAGCAATAAGTTTTTACATAAACTGTTTGAGAGAGTGTGTGTGTGTAATAAAGAAATGATAATCTATGGCTCTGAAGCCACATTTATTTTATTTTTTTGAGACAGAGGGCTCTTGTCAAGGCTGGAGTGCATGCAATGGTGTGTTTTGTTTTGTTTTGTTTGAGACAGAGGGCTCTTGTCGCCCAGAATGGAGTGCAATGGTGTGATCTTGGCTCACCACAACCTCCACCTCCCAGGTTCAAGCGATTCTCCTGCCTCAGCCTCTGGAGTAGCTGGGATTACAGGCACATGCCACCATGCCTGACTAATTTTGTATTTTTAGTAGAGACAAAGTTTCTCCATGTTGGTCAGGCTGGTCTCGAACTCCCAACCTCAGGTGATCCACCTGCCTCGGCCTCCCAAAGTGCTGGGATTACAGGCGTGAGACACTGTGCCTGGCTATTATATCAACGGAACTGTAAAAATGTATATGTACAGTTACCATAAAAGAACAGAAAACTCATAGTTCATATTCATATTCAAATCAGTTAAGACATTCTTCACATGAAAGCAATACATCTGATGCTTAGGTGTCTGAGGTTAGAAAATTATCTCTGCTTATTTACGGCATACTAATCACAGCCACCACGTTCAGTAACTACACAGAAATTAGAC